AATAAAAAATTCAATTTCAGAATTATTATCGGCGAAAGAGTTGTCTTTAGATGTTCAAAGTACTGACAGTAATAATGGCAATAGTGGTGAACATAGACTACGTGTTCGATTAAAATATGGGACAGTAAGTTGAAAAAAAGGAAGACAGTTAATTATTTATATGCATGTTTAATTGAGTTTTGTTATTTTTATACTATCAATCTATTAGTCTACCGATAATTTTTAACATGATTTTTATATAAAAGCTTGAATATTTTAAATATTTGGCGGGTTCGAAATTTACATGGACTGTCGACTAACATTTTAGTGACTGTACTTGATTAATCATCGTAATTGCTAGACATATTTACGAAGTTTGGATCTTTTCTTATGAAATGCCTCTTACCTAAATGAAGTTGCATATTCCACTAAAATATTTAAGCCTGACAGTTATTGATTTAGACAGTGCAATGTTATTTAGGCGTTATGATTAAATACACGGAGAAATTACTGTTAGTAAAAAAAGTTAGACTTTTTTATTATTGATTCATAATACTTTATTGTTGTAAAATGATATATCATTGTGCTAAGTCTTATGTCCGTAAACGGATATTCAGTCAGTTATCATCACAATAGTTCAGTGGTAGCCACTCAGAATGTGAAGCTCGAAGACTTGAGTTCGACTTTCACTTGAAGCATCAGTTCCCGCAAGGTTGTGGGTGCATAATGCTGTCGAATACACGAAAATTATGTTCAGAGTTTACTGTGAGCTACCTCCAATCGCCTAATACTGAAAATTTTCTATTTCGTCATCATTCTGAGTTATATTCATTGGACTCAATTCTTTATGATTGAGCACCGCATAGGTAAGGTGTAATTAATTTGTTGTCAGACTACACTACGTAGAGTAACCGACCTGGATGCGCTAGCTAACAATCACTTATCAATATTTGATAAAAGAAAATCCAGGCAGTAACGTTTGAAAAATGGTATTTAAACTAATTTACTTGACACTATATTTAGTGTTGATTAGCTATTAGTAGTGTCAACACAGTTACTTAATAAAATTTTCCAGGTATATTATTTATAATCGAGGAGTAAACTTCACACATTAAATTTTTCTTATAGTATTTACCAGATACCAAGCAAACCATATAAGTTAAAATAAACTAGTGATTTATCTGACAAAATGAAACTGATAGCATTTGTTATTAATCCGTGTGTAGATCTAATAATCGACTCAATATTTTGAACAAACTTTGCTTTCTGTTAAAACTACTAATGATCTAGACTTGCTAATATTAATTCTGATAAGGTGATTGATGCAAGATATACTTATACTGTTGTAACAACTCACTGTCTCTGGACTGATTAAATGTCAACATGTCGTAGGATTGAATATTGTCAGATAACAACTGATAAACTAAGTATAAAAATAATGATTATACAAAGTGATCAATGAGCCGTTCTGTTTATGGTCACGTTTATCACTATAATGTGTAGTAAATTTCAATATAGATAATCTCGTTACCGTATACTTCATGAAGTTAGGTTTGTGGAGACCGTTTCCTCGGAGTATGGATATACGACGGTTATGGATCCCAAACTAAGATTAAACGTAATGTGTTTTATAGTTTCCAATTTACCTTCAGTTAGTATCATTTTGTAACGAAAATCAAGATTATTTTACATCCAAATGAAAACACTGACTTAGAGGATGATTTTTATGTTATTTATCCGTTTATTATTGTGAATATCAAATCAGACTTCCCCACAAAGAAGAAGTAAATCAACTACTGTGCCAAATTTAACATTACATCGTGCTCATACTATGTCTGATTATCAGCTTCCACGTAATAATTTATACAGAACAAAATCAATGAATGTACCAACGACTAATTTTGCACCAATAGCTTTCATGGAATCACATCCAGTAGAACTACGTTGATTAGTATTTCACATAGAAGAACAACAAAGACAAAAGGAATACATAATAAGATCTTTGAATATTATTTGTTAGTATTAGTTTTGATTATCGTCAAAAACGTTTTACTCCCACACAAATTTAGGCTTGCTGATGAGAAAATAGCCAAAAAGACAACTGAAGATGGAAACTATCACAAATGTTAAGTAATATATTTATCTTTATCTATACTATTTTAATATGTTATTTGTTGTTGTACACTACTCATATAATTAGTACCGCTGTGATATTTTTACAAAACCTTAATGATAATAATGATGTCACTGTCAATTGTTGATTTATTTAACACTTATCTACTCCCTTATTCTTTTGTACATAATCATATTAACATATATATACCTCTGCAGATATAGATATATATTACTGATAGCAATGAGCATAAATCACGACAAATTATTGACTATTTATTAAAATATGCACCATTCTGATTTGATCTTTGTGAACATTACACAGAAACAAAACATCACAGTGAGAAATAGAATTCAAATACTTCCTCTTTCTTTTTTTCGACAAAGAGTCTGTTACAATTCATTTACGTAGAAAATCACTCGGAGTTTTTCTTAGTAGTTTTTCAATTTCTTTTTCTCATTTAGACAAATGACTTGGCTTATTCTATTTTTATTTGGAATGAACATATAACGATTGAAATTTACATTAATATCCCTATATTTAGATGGATTAACTGTACATGGCTGTTTCTTGTTGCTTTATTTCCTCTTTAATTAATGGAAAGTAACGCAAATACAATATGGCCAATAAATGTTGAATGTGGAGAATATTTTCTTTATCAATGTGTTCTATTTTCTTTTTTATTCCTTTAACGATGGGTAGTTACGGAATAATTTGGTTTGTGTTAGAACTTTTCACTAATATTCTAGGTGCTGAGTATACACCATAGACTACTTTTAGTTGAAAAAAAAACTTGTAAAAATCAACGTACAATGTTATCTATATTCAACTTGAACAGTCTTCACAACCTCGCATTTCAACAATAATTTTGTTAACCGGTAATTAACTTCTAGAAGGATTTCTGAAGTTCTAGGGAAAACTTATGATAAATGGAATTCAACTATGTTTGAGGATAAAACAAATATCACCGATCATACTAGTTGGCTGTCGCTCAATATCCTGTTGGCTAATGTTTGGAAATTGAAGTATTCGGATGTCAGCTTAGTGATTTGAAAGTAAAGTTTGTCGCAAAGCCCAAAGACTATGGATTTGGTCTTTGACGAAACCATGGTTACGTCATGCTAGAACGCTTCCTACTGGGACGAAACATATGTCTAGCACTACAATAGTTGTGTAGTCAGTCCGCGATGCATGGCACATATACCAGTAGACTGTACAGTGTTTCAGCGCAGTCAGTTGTTAACTGTTGAAGAGACCAAATTATTATCTCTTTCAAAAGACTGCACAAATAGTAAGACAATATACCACTATGCAATATATCACTACAAAAGTAAACATGAATAAATGTCTTCTGAAGTATAATCAAAGGTAGGATACTGATTTTACAGGTTAATCACCAGCTTATGTGCTTATAAGACCCAACTATCAGGCTTAATTTTTTGCCACCACAACCCATATATATGTATAGCCTTTTCTGTAAGTCGAGTCTAAATGAAAATAGAACCAATCTGAAGACAATTTTCGTTCATCACTGAACATATAATTTAAATCATGTTTGATTTGAGAAAATATAAATAGTACATCATTCAAACATGAATCTACTTAATGTTTCTTTCCGAAATGTTAAGACTTAATTTGTGTCTGAGCGAGTAGAAATTGATTATTGAAGTGTTTAATTGATTTAGCTAGAAAGATTATTACTGACAAATATTTCACCTCACAGTCGTTTACTTGCTTTGGTTTTTACTATTACCTTTCTCTTGGATTTATTAGCTCTAACCTTTTTTTAAAGGTAGGAAACAATTCTATAAGTAAACTGATTATTAACAGATAATAAAATATCACACACAAACTATTTTCAAGTACTAAATTATTTGTTCAGTTCGATATATACGACTCAATAATCAAGTTACTATTGGTTCTGATATGATCATGAACATTTGAATGCTTGGTGTATTCGAAAGTCTATTTCACTCGATTTCCGTATCTTTCGCTTTATCATATTTTCACCACTATTATGAATATCACTTAATTCCCTTTCTGGTTTCCCATAATCTGACTGATATAAAGGCTAAGAAACCATTCATTAGTACGAAGCTGTGATATAGAAACATAAGAATTTACATACAGTTTTATCTGCTCACTGAGTAGTGTTAATATATAAATCTTTAAAGTCAGAGTGAAAGACCATGTTATGAGGAACGTTTATTAATATCTACAAACCATTTATTGTTCGACAGACAAAAAGTGAATTACGGCAAACTGATAGCATAATTTTTGTATCAGTGTTATTCGCATAACTTATAAATATAAACGAAATCCTCAACCAATGTTATGACAAAGACTGATAAATATGTATATCTTTTCATTTCAAAACTATTAGGTCAATAAAATATTGGAATGTTATTATGTACAAACTGGTAAAGATTTGTACAAAATATTCACTCAAGTAACGATCAAACCACTTTAAGAACGACCTAGCGAGTGGAAGGATTGGTCAAATTAAAAAACATATTCATAAATTAGGTGCTATACCTTATCAGTTTTGTATGGACTGTCAATCACTAACATATGTATTCAAGATGTTATATTTAATAAATGATCACAACTGAATAGAACTACATCTTAATCTAATATGATCACTGTTAACATAAGTATAAACCACAGTGTTTCGTTCTCTTGTTTGGCTGAAAATTGAGGTCGTTTTGGCTTGTGTTTAGATATTCAACATTAAATTGAAACAAATGTCAAATAACACTACATATAAAGTATGATTTGATTTGTACAAGGATAATCATTACAACTACTAATCATTTAATTGAAAATGGCATGCTACAATGTGTAAGACAATTATAGAATTTTTTTTAGAATAGGAATCCATAAAATATAAAGTGGTATTGTATTAGTTTCAGGCAGCATTTGACACTTTCCTAGACATAGTCTAAAAAAAGTAGAGAAAGATAATTACACTTTGTGTTATTACAATTTACACCTAAAAATGAGTGACAAAAAGGTAGGTAGTTCGTATCATGACGTTACTTATCTATTGGTGGGGAAGGGCTTGATGGTTACGATATTCGACATATAGCCAATAAGTTCCAAGTTCGAATCCCCTCCATCGATTTGGGTTTAGACAACCGGGTAGTATCATCAGCCCTCATACTTAGTGTGGCTCATGCCCAAGAACGTGGTGTATGAGTTAACTATATTATATTATTATATTAAAACCTAAATCTCTCGTCCTATTCATCACTCTAAAATGTATTTTGCTTACCTGTATTTCAGTTCTTGTGTTTGTATTGAGAATAAAAACTAGCACTTGCTACTTACTGCATATCAAACAGTAGGTTACGGCAGTGGTTCTTGTCGTAAAAGTATGTGTCCAAACCACTTCATCTTATTTCACAACTACAAAACGTAGGCGTTGAAGCTGGCGATTATGAAAAAGAAAGCTTGAAGATAGGTGTCTTGAAACCACTACTCGTAGCTAGTGGATGAGGCTGCCAGACAAAAAGTTTATAAAGTGGAAAACCTGAACCAACTGTGGTACAACTCAGCTGAAAGCTTATACTAGTTGACAGAGAAAATTGTGATACCAATCGTATAGAAAAGTGAAAACACTAGGTAGGGTTATCACAACGAAAGAAGTCAGTATTTAGAAGATCTGGGGAATACGGCTAATTATTTATCGAGACGATATGTATGGACATTATTTTCCTCTGAATTTCATATCTTGTTACTTTTGCTTATTCGTCCTTTACCTCCTTTTTTACGTTTCTACTTGTTTCTTCGTTCTGCATTATTGCAGATTGTAGTGATTCTAATACATAACATTTTTACACTTTCCTATTATGCTATTTAAATTAACATATGATCTCGTAACCGATATGTAGATTTTTCCTGAATCCATTAAACGCTGTAATTTGAGGTTCTGGGGAACATTGATGATGAAATTGTAAGTTACCTTTCGAACTTATTTGGCGGCAGCCAACAAAATATCTTGAGATCCATAATTCATCTTGTTTGACATTCGTTATCAGAATGACTAAGGATCAGTGTTCAAGTTATTAGTGGCTACGGCCGCCACACATACATATCGCAAGTTCGTTAAACTTCAAGAAACATAAATGGCGTAACAGATTTATATCTAACCCTTGTAAATTAGGTTATATCAATGCTTAAAAAAACAACAAAACCTGGAAGTAACAAAGTTGTTCAGGTAAGTATTACTTACGACAAGGAAATTTTGCACACAACGATCATACTCTGAAACAAGTTTGGAACACAAAAGTATTCTTCCAGGATTCTGCTTATAACAATCTTCGACTCTTTGTTCAGCTGCAGCACAACACCCCCCAGGAGTAGGTCTCCTACAATAAAGAACAAAAATTATTCTAAAACCAAGCATTGAAAGCTATATGTTGTTTTACCATTATGGAAATAATTCATTTTATCTGAATAGTTTAAATAAGAATATATTGCCACTTTACTTTGGATGTCAATCAAAGTGTACATATGTAAACCACCGAAGTAGACAATAAATGTAAATATGCAACTCGTGAACTATGTAAGTATTTATTTAGAACGGTAAAGATCACTGTATGAAATAAAACACGATGACACAACACGGCTAATCGAATTTCAGGAATTAGAAACGAATATTAGCACTTTGATACTTAGGTTTGAAGTTGTTAGGTAAGTGGATAATTCCACACCTCTTTATAAATAGAGTTATGGGACGTAAGTAAACATATACATTGTATCATACTAGTGCAGTTTCCAGATGTGGAGTAGATTTAAACTAACGTTTATAACACCATGCAGCAAGCAGTGTTCACGAACGACCTCAAAAAAATGATGATACAAAAATACTGCATGTCATAACGACATGATGTTGAATAAGTGAGTTTTGTGTAGTACTAACTTACGCCTGTTATCCCTTGTGGAAGGACATAGGCTGCCCACTAGCATTCTCCATCGAAATCTGTCCTGGACAATCTTTTCCAGTTACTATTTGTTCTTTTGATGTCTGCCTCAAATTCCCGACGCGATATGTTCTTCGGCCTTCCTCTTTACATTTTCCCATCAGGATTCTAAGTTAGCACTTGCCTCGTGATGAAGTTTGATGATTTCCGCAGTGTATGTCCTATCCACTTCCAACATCTTTTACTAATTTCCTCTTCAACTGGTATTTGGTTTTTTCTCCTTCTCAGTAGGCTCTTACTGATGCCACACTAGTTGTCTTCACTTGGTTTGTTGCTGGGTATGAGATAGAAGAACCAGGTTATCTGCGAAATCCAAGCTGTCTATATTTCGTGCTTCTCCTGAGATGTGGAGGTCTTCATAATCCAGTCAACCGCCAGAAGAATGAGAAAGGTGGAGAGTAAGCAGCCTTGCCTGACACAGCAGTTGGTGAAAAATTAAAATTATTCCACAGACATACGATAAATACTTGTACGATTTCAATGAAGAACTGTCAACATCTAGAAGCATAACTTTACCGACACGTCTTTATCCCAAAAATAAATCTGTGCAATCAGATACAACCTAACTCAACACTTCCGGTTATCTCATAATGATAACAAGGAAAACCATTTTTTAGATAAGGAAGTTTCGACAGTTTTGAAATATCAGTGTAAAAATTCAAAACTTCTGGCAAAGTCTCAATCCATATAAATGTAATAAATCACAGATTTCGACAGAATTATTTTGATGAATAAGTGTTACACATTGTAGTACATTTACACAACTTACATGTACTTGTTTTCTAAACGCTCAACTGTCCGTGTATATTCTTCTGCAGCCTCGTTGAACAGTTGTTCATTCTAAAACAAACCGTAAATATTCGCAATAAATAATATCACAGTGATTCAATTTCAAAACAATAATATTTGTGACTTAGTGTAAGGCTTTTACGTTACAAATAGGTTAGCCATCTGAATGGAACAATTTGAGGCTGCATAAGCTAAAATCTCTACACTTCAAAACAGAACATGACCAAAAAAGTCAAAATAACGGAATCTTTTTGAAAACGTTCATTTAGTTATAGGCAACCGAACACCTGGTGCAAAAGAATATTGGTTCACAATTAACTAATCACTGAGTAGCGGCTAATATCATGTATGTCAAGTCCTTCTTAGCGTTTTTTATGGTTAAAAAACGCCAAAAAAGACGAAATACATGATATTGGCCAGATAAATCATATTTGTATCACTCAAAAAGACGAGAGAACCAGATCATCACCTGGTTGTGACCAAGATGAAACTGAGGCTAAAGAAACACTGCATAACTGGGAAAACAGCAGTACAAAGGTTCAATACAGCCTTCCTTCGAGATACTAACAAAATCAACCAATTCAAGATAACTCTTGAAAAGAGGTTCCAAGCCTTTTAAGACATACTGAAAGAAGATACTACGATGGAGGACAACTGGGAAGGGATCAAATAAGCACTAAACTCAACGTGTCAGCAGGAGCTGGGCCTCAAGAAGCATCATCATAAGGAATGAACCTCTATGGAAAACCTGGACAAGATTCAAGAAAGGAAGAACAAGACAGCAATCAACAACAGCTGAACACGAGCAGAGAAAGTCAAGGCACAAGCTGAATACGCTGAAGCAAACAAGATAATGAAGAAGAGAACTAAAGCTGACAAGCAGAAATATGTGGAAAACTTAGAAACGACAGCGGAAACAGCTCGAAAAAAAGGAAATATGAGACGACTATATGACACGATGAAAAAACTGGCAAGGAAATATAGTAAACCAGAGAGACTGGAAGGCAAGACAATCACTGAGATTCAAGGAAAGAGGTAGAACACTTTGAAGGACTCTCGAATATGTCATCCACATTGAACTCACTGGACATCGAAGCGGTACACACAAACCTTCCTATAGATGTCACTCCACCAACGACCGAAGAAATCAGGATCTCCATCAGACAAATAAAGAGCGGGAAAACAACAGAGCCAGAAAATATACCAGCTGAAGCACTCAAGTCAGACATGAAAGTAACTGCAAACATGGTTCACCTTCTATTCAAGAGAATTTTGGAGGAGGAACGAGTGCCGATGGATTGTAAAAAAGGATACCTCATCAACATACCAAAGAAAGAAGATCTGAACAAATGCGAGAACTACAGCGGCACCACACTATTATCAGTACAATGAAAAGATTTTCAACAGTGTTGCTGAACCGGATGAATAACTCAGTAGACACGCAAATCCGAGATCAAGAGACCGGATTCCGTAAGGATCGGTAATGCACAGACCAAATTGTGACACTACGGATCATCGTTGAACAATGAAGCAAATGGAACTCGTCACTATACATCAACTTTATTGACTACGAGAAGGCGTTCGACAGTGTGAACAAGAGAACATTATGGAAACTTCTTCGACACTATGGAGTATCTAAGAAATTTGTCAACATCATACGGAATTTATACAACAGACTGAAGCGCGAAACCGTGCATGGAGGACAGCTGACACACGAATCCGAAGTGAGGACCGGAGTCATACAAGGCTGTCTACTCTCCCTCTTCCTCTTTCTTCTGGTGTTCGACTGGATTATGGAGACCTCGACATCTGAGGGAAAATACGGAATACAATGGACAGTTCAGAATCAATTAGACGATTTGGACTTCGCAGATGACCTAGCCCTCCTATCGCATACACATGGACAAATGCAGATAAAGACAGCCAGTGTAGCCGCAGTCTCTGAATCAGTAGGCCTCAACATACACAAACGAAAAAGCAAGATCCTCAGACACACCAGCCCGATCACACCTGATGGCGAAACTCTGGGAGATGTAGAATCCTTCACATACCTGAGAAACATCAGTGAACAAGGAGGATCACATGCAGACGTAAAGGCGAGGATTGTCAAAGCAAGGGTAACATTCCAACAATTGAAGAACAGATGGAACTCAAAACAACTTTCAACCAATATCAAAGTCAGAATCTTCAATACGAACGTCAAGACAGTTCTAACATACGGAGCTGCAACGTGGAGAACTACTACAACCATCATCAAGAAGGTACAAGTAATTCTAAGCAGTTTTCTATGCAAGACACTCAATATCCGTTGTTTGGATACCATCAGCAACAACCTACTGTGGGAGAGAACAAACTAGCTTCCAGCTGAGAAGGAAATTAAGAAAAGACGTTGGAAGTGGATAGGACATACACTGCGGAAATCATCAAACTTCATCACGAGGCAAGTGCTAACTTAGAATCCTGATGGGAAAATGTAAAGAGGAAGGCCGAAGAACATATCGCGTTGGGAATTTGAGGCAGACATCAAAAGAACAAATAGCAACTGGAAAAGATTGTCCAGGACAGATTTCGATGGAGAATGCTAGTGGGCAGCCTATGTTCTTCCACAAGGGATAACAGGTAAGTAAATAAGTACTTTTTAGTGCTGGTCGAATTCTATCGATTAAGTTGCAATGTGTCCACTAGTAGGAGTGACCTAACACTACATGTACCATGTTGACCTCAATTCGAGTTGCCACATCTCAAGAGGACGAGAAATTCACAAGGTGAAAAGCAGAAGAGGAGTGGCAGCAACAATCATTAGAATGGAAATATAAAAGTAAAAAACATGGTTCGGAAGGAACGATTAAATCGAAGAATGAAAAGTACGGTATGCATTAAGTCATTTTGAGGAAGATAAAAAATTAATCTAACTGTAACACGAAAATAGATTTCGGGTCATGCCGCTCAATGTCTCCGACTGTAGATTGAGACTTTTAAGTAATACTCAGTCATGAAATCCGAATCCCTTGATATTGCTCAGCCTAACAGTTAATTTCTACATGAACTGGCAAAATGTTTCCGAATGATCAACCCTAACCTTATTCCAACTTACTCTCATGCCAACCAGAACTGAGCATCAGCGTAGGCTCTTGCCAGGCATGTGCAAGATATGCCCTAGCCAGGTTGATGAAGATTGATATAGTCAATAATAGATTAATTATTTCCACGTAGAACACGAATTCTATCCGCAGAATTACTAACTTGCAGGCTCCACCATATTTCAGTTATGCTTATAATAATAATGCTTATAAACACTAGCAATCTTTCCATATTTTGTACCAGTATACCCCATTTTCACAGCCATGGGGCAATACAGAAAAGACTCCGTTTTGAGAAAGTAAAGTTTCTATAATCTTAATAGGCTAGAAGAACGAAGCGAAAATGATATAAGTTAAACTGCTGAAAGTATTGCTTACGGTTTTGACGGTAACACTTTACTTCTATTACTGGAAACATGTTGGTGAAATGTTTTCTAGACTGGAGACAGAAATCTCACAGGCTTGATGAATGATAGAGGTATGTGAATGTGAACTTGAGTGTATGTATTAAAAGTCTCATTGGTCACCATCAGACGATATAACCAACTAGGTAAGTAAAGCGGTTAACCACCTAAAGCATCTTGTCCGTTAAAATATAGTAGATGTGGTAGTCGTTTTTCAACCACAAATGTAGAGTACACGGTGGAAATTCCCTTCCCTGGTGCTTTGTCAAAACTCAAAGATTACTAAATTGTTATCATTCAGATGAATATTAGAACTAATAGACATGGTGGCGAAAAAACAAAGCGTTATCACGAATAATTGCATAACATTAAAATAAAATACAGATTAGGTGAGAACCGCTTAGCGAATGAAAGGAATAGGGACATTACACAGTTACCATATGAAGGGGGGAATAGCGTACATCATCCTGAGGAATAATGCGGATTATTTTTCCAAACCTTTGGATCTAATCGTCTGCGTTAAAGAACTAAGAGCAAGTAATACTCGTAATAAGAAATCCCTACAGAATCGACTTACAAGGCAGATTACTCAGATGCACGTAAGAAACATAAGCAATATGAAATAATACATCAGTTAGTCCCTTGTGGTACAATATATGTTGAAATGTTCGTATAAGTGAAAAGACCTGTAGAAAGGGTTTGAATACCCTATTGTCTACTTCAAGACAAAATAAAAAGGAAAACACAATGAATTGCATTGCTTAATAAAAAACAGAAACGTACACGTTTTTCTAATAGTTGCAGGAGCTTTTCGTATCTTCTTTCTGCCTCTTCTAGTTCATGTTTTAAACCTAGGCTATATTGCGGTTTGAACGATTCTGGGGCACGAACGTCATCTCAAAGCTAGGCTAACAAACGATGTACCAACCTTTCGTATTATCCTCGGTGGTAGCAGCATTTTTGATTCGCTTAATTACATCTTCGCTAATCTTACAGACTTATGATGTAACAGAATAACTTACTACAATATCGTCGGGGTGGAAAGTCACATCTCGAGTTTGATGAGAGGCAGCAGAACCCATATCTAAAAAATTCTTTTATACTAAGAGGTAAAACTTTACAGAAGGACTAGAGTATGAAAAGTATTTATTATTTAAATGTACAATTTCATTTTTCTACTAAGATGTGGATTCCATAATCCATTTAAGGTACGGTGGGTAACCCCCCTCAATGTTTAAGCTAATGATTTCCGGGCATTCATAAGGGTGGATTTCTTTGACAACCTCCGTTAGAGAAGGTACCAACTTTGATTGAGTTTTCGCCATTAGAAGAAGCTCGTCTGACTTTTCCACCTTCCCTTCCCAAACGTAAACAGACTTAATTGAGGGTATGATATTGACACAAGCTGCCAGTTTTCTACTAACTAGAGTATCTGCAATAGTTTCCGCGACTGTGGAATTCGGACAAGTAATTAGAGCTACAGAATACATCGATGTCTTTGAAAACCAGATGCTGGCACCAAATGATGAGATTAACAAACCTATCAAAAAATTGCAAACATGTTTCAACATTAGTGAAGGTGGACACAGACAGCAAACACTATTAACTGACTTGTTACACACCTCGACCTTGAGAACAAAGCTTCCGCAGCATGTGGATTCTGCTCAGAATGTGGATGAATCCCCAAAACAAATAATTCTGCGGGTCTTTGATATTGATCTTGAGATCGTCAGTTTTATTTAACACGCTCTATCTGAAAGTGCTCGGTCAATAAAATACATTAGACCAAACTATTTACGTCATGCTATGCAGCCCTTTCACCTAGCCAGCTTGTACCACATACCTTTTGACGCATTAACCATCTTACAAATATATCTTCTAACCCCCTTCATCCATGACTTTGTTTGAATTTTTTATGTATGAACGAAGAATAAGTGGGTGGTAGCTTCCAAGAATTATTTATAAACTATGATAATATACATATACTTATCGTATAATTACTAAGTAATTAGATCATATATATTTATGTTCCCCTTATCATAAGCCTTCATTTGACCGATTAACTACTGTTATACGATTTACAGTTCTTAATTTATTCCCAATCTGTTAGTTATTCTCCTATACTCATAACCAGTTTTGGACTGGGGTCGTATGATCATTATTTCTCGTCTCATGGACTGATGCGGTCTGGTCTGCTTGTATATAAACCACGTATGTCTGGAATAAGTTCATTCATATAGATGAGAGTGATACTTGTGTTCTGGACTGAACGAGTGCTGACTGACAAACTAAGCACCGGGGCAAAGCCATAGAAGTCGATATTCCGACTGGCAATTTTGTCACCTGATAGTTGACGGCCCATTGAACATAACATTCTAGACTAAGGATCCGCGATAATAAAGGTGTTGCGGATGACAGTGTTGTCAAACTCTTTCAAACTCAGATTTTACTAAGGTGTTTTGTAAAGTTGTGCTCACGCCCACAACATAATCATTGAGAGCTGTTCATATAGATATACTGCAGTAGCACGCTATCATAAGGCCGTAGAAGATTTCGCACTTAATTATTTTGTAGAAAATGTTGACAAGCTCCCTAAGGTGATACTAAAACTGAAATAATAAATAAAATTTCCATTAGCTAGTATTTAAAGGAAGTACAGTATGGACCCGCGCTGCGGGCTGGACGTTACTTTCAGATCGAGGCCTGCAGTTTTTTCCTGGATAGATTATCTTCCCTTGGAATTACAAAAGATTACTCCATTTTGAATCACCTACATATGAACTGTAAATTTCATACTCTATGATAAGGTCTCAGTTTAGCATATTCATGGTGTATTTGGTCATATTCACATACTAATTCATATTCATATACGTATTCCTTTTGACTATCCGGCAGAACCATATTCTGTCACTTCAAAACCGTATGTAACTATGTATGACGAATAATTGCTTTCAATATTTGTATATTATCCCTTATGTCGTGTTTGGATACTATAACCTACATACTTTACGTATGTACAGGATCTATTCAGACCTTTGTCTGACATTTAAAGATATATGATTATGTATGATGAAGCACTATTCTCTGAGCGTTACATACTTTTTTATATATTAACTTTTAAATCGTATTTGGATGCTATAACTCAATAAATTTCTGGAATTTCCTGTTCACTTCGACGAGTCTGTCAGAGTTTTTGGTCAGTATTTTTACCTAAAAAGCTATTTCATATATTTGGTCATCAAGCATCATAATAACTCTAAATGGTAATAATCTTTAAAACTACTTATGTCTGCACCTCCCAATTTTAAATGATTCAGGCTTTGTTTATACATGTACCACATACCGTACCCACTTTGAGTGTTTCATAATTATTATCGACGGTTCTAGATTACTTTATTATGTAAGTCTGCCGTTCAGTGTAATCTACACGTTAAAATTTATCCAATGTGCATATATATTCTATTTTACCTCCTTACATATACTAAATTTTAAACTTCCTGAAATTTTCCCCTGCTGTATTTGTCATCTTCACCAATCTTCACGATACATTCACTGTTGTTTCAAACACAGACTTTGATTTCCAAACTATCTTAAGCCCTCAGCATTGATTTTTTCACCTGTTTCTATCTCCAACACTTTGTCCAACCCATATGCTGCTTACCACTTTCTTATCATGCCTTAAAAAGAACTGAAAACCCCGATAGCCAAACTTAAGAAAATAAAGCGATCTAACACCAATACTGACACGATTTCTGACAGTTTCAACGAGACGAGCTACTCCGTTCATCCGGAAGCAGCTTATACCAGTTGTCTCCATTTCAGACATGTTGAAGACTCTGTTGGTAAACGGTGGTGATATTCACAGCTGCGACTATATGAACGATATAAGAAAGCTGAATGTTGACATGAAAATTCTCAATCAGCTTAAGTATCTCATCAAACCCAACCTTTCAGAGGTTCCAGATCAGATTAGTGACAAATAATTTCCCAGATAGTGTTGCTTCGGACGTGTTTCAAGAACTTGACGATCTACCAGTGCGATTGTGTTTAATATCTCAGATACATATGCCCTTAAAAATATCAAGTCAAATGTGCTTGGAGCCATCAATATGACACATGTACCATGTGTGTGCATAAGACTAAAAAGAATTCACCCTGATGTGCACTCGTCGATCCTGTTCAAATTCGACTCATCTGCAGACGCTGACGAGTTTCTGACTTTCCCAAATACGATGAGACAAAAAGAGATTTTCAAGGATACTAAAATTCTTCGAGATAAGACATCACGCAATGGGAAAGCAGGAATATATAGTCACAGACCACTAGCGTCAAACTCATAAACTCATCATAACCCTTAAGTTCGTAAAATTAAGTTCGATTTTAGGAGAAATTTTGACGTTACAAATATGCCACCACTGATAAACACTCCTGAACCTCTTAAAGCTCAGAACCCAGAAGTTATTAATCCTATGTCGGTGGTGTTCATTCTCCTAAAAATGCTTATTTAGATCTAACCCCAAGTAGTCGTACTGACTACGAATGAGACAATACCGTTCAAGACCCCGTCAGTGCAACACTCAGTGTCAGTAACTGTACAATGTCTAACGAGCGAAACAGTTGCAATAATTATATAACTGACCACATACTGAACACCAATATATTCGAACCTTGCAAACCATCGTAAGTATGTCTAACGACACTCGATTATCCATAAATTACGAAGGAGCTAAAACAAACCACAAACCTTGGAAATAAATGTATGGGACATATTACATATACACCAGGTATAAAAAGTAAACCGAATTGTAAACGACCACTTCGTCGCAAACAGATCTGATAGCCTTTTTGGTCCGGCCCCCTACATGTACTCTATGCCTCCATCAGACGTTATGATTAATAACAATCAGGAGACATCTCTTGTAATTCCATCGACTTTTATGCTGACAACGGTAAACATGTTAAAAGTGGTGACAAATTTGTTGAATTTACTCCTCCTTACAACATAATTCTTACCATAGCCAATTCCAAGAGTATTCATAGGACTACAACCTGTGATCTATACTCAAGCCTGCTTCATCATGATACCTCTCAGTTTCTTATTCTTTAGTTTACTGCCCGCTCTCTGTCCAATAAAATTACTCACGTTAAACCCCTTTACATCCTTATAACTCCAACCCTTGTACTTATGACGGAAACGTGGTGCAAACAATCCATGTCCGATTGCTCTTTACACGTGAATAACTATGTTTTCTTTCGAACCGATAGACGTCATGGAATGGGAGGTTGTGCAATTATCTGTGTACGTTCGGACATTCAGGCGTGTGAATTTGAGAATAAATGTCTTGTTGCTATAGATGACTCTGTAACAGCTTAGGTTGGTTGGTTAAGAGTTGACCCCAAACAACCAAGCATATGCCAAAACAGTATTGTTCAAGTATTCATTCACTTCCTTATTTTGTATAAGCGTTATATTCCCTAATATCTTATATTGAATGTTGAGAGCCTTTGTTTGTCTGAACAGATAATCCAACGCTCCACTGTGACTGCGCGAAGATCGAAATAAAGACCTATTCACTACTTCTCTGGTTTCTTCTATCAATAGCACGAAGGTTACCTTAAGGCACGAAAACTCCACTTGGGTTACTGTAAATTGTGGGTCTCAAAATTATCTACTGATGGATGCATATACAGACCACATCATGCGGATACTTTGACAAATTGCTAACAAAAATATTTTCATTGCTTCGCACCAACTGCATACGTTAATGAATCTGCCGAACATTAAATGGAGTCCGACTTCGGTATCAGGTTTGTGTAACAAGTTAGTTGAAACATTAGAAATTTGTGGGTGTGTTCAACAAGCCCAAAAGCCGACTAGGGAGAATTATATACGTGATTTATTATTTACAGTCAACACAGACTATATCTCAGTGCACGTCAGTAATGAATTTATTATGTGGGATTATAGAGTCCTATCGAGTATTGTCTTTTACCTAAACACGATACAAATAAACTCCAAGGCTGCAAAAATAAACCACAGCTGGCAGTTTGATCAATAAACCTGGAAGCGTACTGAAACTTTTATTTGATGCTTACCATGGAAACCTTATTTCACCACAAATAATACTGACAATGAGCTTTCCGACATATGCCATAACCTGATATATTACCTTGATGGCACTGCCCCAGCTATCAACCATGTGGCTTATAATGCCAATAGGGGCCAAAATACTTTTAAAACCTTCAAGAGAAAGCTAAAACTGCAACACCGCTACCACAAGCACCATGACGTGTATGCGCCTCAGAGTATACTTAGCTTGATCGACAGAAATGATTCATCTAAACGTAAGTATTCTATGACTATGGAGAATAAATTTCTAGGTACTAAGCCCAGAGTTATCAACCTTTCGGCTATTTAAATCCCATGTAAAATCAAATTCCCTTAGCACAACCAAATTTTTCATGGTTGACGGATACTATTTGCGAACAATTCAGCCAGCGTTTCTCGAAACGCTACAACGCTGGAATCGAAACATCTCTCAGTACATTTCAAATGTTAACATCTAGACATCTGTCTAGAGTCGATTTCATATCCATCACATATGAATGTGTGCCTGACGAGATTCCTTCATCATTTGTGAAATATGGTAGTG